TAATTAAAACCAAAACCTTCCAAAGGAGGGGCCCTTTGGTGGAAAACCCTGGGAACCTAAAAAAAACCTTCGCCTTGGCCAATTAGGGTTTTTTAAGGGGGGGGGTTCCCTTTAAGGTTTTTTTGTTTTTTATTTTCCCCAAAGAAAGGGGGTTTTTTTAAAGGGTTTCCCTGAAAGGGGGTTCCCCCCCATTCACGGGTTTTCCCCCCCCCCCCCCCCCCCCCTGGCCCGGGAGAGAGGATTTCAAGAGGGGGGGTTACACCGGGCCAACCCACGCCCAACCTTCGCTTCCACCATGGAATCACGGGGGGGGAAATGTATTGTTATAAACCCATGCTCCCCGGTTTAGCCCTTGGCCTTCGCTTCCTTAAAATCCGGGGGCAGAGAAATGTCCGGGTTTTTCCCCGCCCCGGGTTATTTGGGTTTCCCGGGGGGGGGGGGGGGCAATAAGTGCAGCGATTTGGTTGTTGTCTCCACGGACACCTGAGTATGCCTTGTTGTAATCTCGGCGATGATGGTCCTAGGGAACAAGAGGGCCGAAAGCTTGTGCTGCTTTCTTGTCCCGTCTATATTGCATGCATGCGTGATGTGGACGATTCCACTCAAAACAGCCGTAACTGCCACAACGTTTGGGTCCGGAACGTGCATCGTCACGGAGGAAGATGTAGACGTTCCCCCGCAATACCTCCTCCGCTCTTCACAAATTCGAAGCTCCGGTAACACTATCGGAGCCCCCGCGGCTGGCTCAAAGCAGAACGGGGGGAATGTCGAAACCCAACGCCCTGTCCCTGAGGTGGGCCATCGTGATTCTGTCGAAGGACCCGTGAAAGAGCAGGTGAGTTCGCGAACCAATCATACTCAATTGCCGGGGCGCAGCTCCTCCGACAAAGTAGGCCGGGAACTCCTCCACGTACATTGATGTTCGTGCACAATCGCAGTTTCCCATCTTCGGACTCAAGCCCGCACACACCGCGAACGCCGGCTGCACCTTTATGTAGGGCATAGGTCCTTGTTGTCCCGTTCCCTTGCCGAGATATTTCCATGCCTAGCAACCTCCGTTAGGCCAAGTCTTGGCCGTTGGTGCTTGTAATCGTTGTCAGCTGCCGTCCTTGCGGCACTTTGACGAGCGCGTCCTGGTGCTACAGGGAGTCTCAGTGCCAATAGGTGTTCCTGCCGACGACATTCATTCTTCGTGCGGCTGCGCATTCAAGTGCTGCTTGGTGCCACTGGTGGGGCTGCAAGACGCCGACATTTCAAGTGCCAGTCTTGCTGCCGCCGCCATTGCCGCTGCTACTTGTGTTGCCGCCAGTGTTGGTGCTCCTGCTGGTGCTGCTACCTCTGTTGGCGCTGCACGTGTTTCTGGTGCTTTTGTTTCTTTTGCGGGAGGTGCTACCGGCGGAATTTCTTCGCATCGAAACGTTGCTCCTGCGTCTGTTGGTGGTGGCATCCGTCTTGCTACGCTCCCGCATAATGCGAGCCGCAACGCTCTGCAGGCCGTTAGCGCGGCAGAGATTGACCAGGTCGAGCAAAGCGCGGCTGTTCGGTCGGATGCCACCTTCGCGCATCACGTCGTAAACCTGCGGTTCGAGTAGAGGCGACGGAAACATGGAAAAGTAAATCTCAACTACCGTAGAAGATCTCACACAACATCTATAGTCTCAACGCACATACCACAGTTGAGCAGGAAACCCCTTGCTCTGTCCCGCCCGTTGCTCGAATACGCTCTTCTTTACTGCTTGCACACATGCACATCCTGTCTGGAGTCGAACAGAACAACCAGCGAAGGGCGCCAACTACACTTGCCATGCAACAAAACGGTTCACGAAGTAAAACGATAACCTGAACATGGGAACCCCCGTACGAAGCGCAGGCAGCAGCAGGGCGAAGTTCTGGCTGGGACACACACACGCAGAAACGAAAAAAAACTGTTTACGCGCTTCTTGGGTTCCGACTAAGAAGGCAAACGAGTTTTCGTCGTTCCTCTGTGGACCGCTGCTGTGACACACGCGCCGGGCAAAGCCTCGCCAACCTGGAGGGCGGTGTCCACGTCCCCGGCCCCCCCACATGCCGCCAACGCCGCCCGCGTCGAGCGGGGCCCGGGGGCGACCCCGGCGGACAGCTGCTGCCGCCAGATCTCGAGGGCGCGCCCGTAGTCCTCCGCCATGACCGAGGCCCTCATGAGGTGCGCGTACGTCACCTCCGTGGGCCGGGCGAAGGTCGAGAAGTGGTTCGTCCGCTGCTGCATCGTCGCGAAAATCTTGAGACGGGGATGGAGGTGGAGGTATCCCGACCGTGCGACAATAACGGTTGGTGAGTGTGCGTGGTGGGTCTGGATGTTTCAGGGGGAGGGCAGGGAGTGTGAAAAAATATCGGTCGTGACTTCTGTACTGAAAATACCTCAAACCATTCTGTTCTTGACGTACACGAAATGGAGATCCACCGCGAGCGCCCCACTCTTCTCTTCTCGACGTACAACCGAAAACCCCCGCAAAAGTAACGAACAAGGACAACGACAGAGTTTCACCCTCCCCCTCGAACAACGCTCAAGCGCGACCCCCCTACCTCTTCCGCTTCTTCCACCCTTGGAGGGACAGCCCTCGCGGCCGCCTTTATCAGGCTCGTGTACGTCACCGCGTCCGGCTGGAGACCTCCCCCTTCCCCGTCGTCTACCATCAGGCGAACCACCCCTAGGGCGCGGTCGAACTCGCCGAGGTCCTGCAAAAAGCCGGCGGCGCACCGAAACCCACAAAATTACCACCAAACACCCGTCAGGGTTTCTGTTCCAAGGAAGAACTCCGCTGTGCGCAACAGCATGGATACCGGAGCGATTCGTTTTTGCCTGGTTTCGACCGCTGCTGTTGGGAATGAAATCCCAAGAGAGGGGGCAAGCGATCATGTTCAAGGTGCGATCTTCCAAAAAACGAAAAAAAAACAAGAATAGTCAGGTGTTCTCCCTTCGACAACCAGCCAACGCCGGCAGGCTAGCTAGAAAAACGCACGTCCGAATCCAACTTGGTCACTTGGTTGGTTGTGCGTTGCAAGGCAATGGGGGCACTGGGTGGGGCCGGGGCGGAGAGACGCACCGCACAAGTGATACATGACCTGCCTTGGCATGAAAATCGTTCCATTTGTCGTGCACGACCTGCCAACACATACTGTCGTATGACTAGCCAAAAAAGGTCTAGAAGCATAGCCGGAAGGTGTTGAAGTCCACTGATGAACGAGCGACAACGTACCGCACACGTGTTGACCAGCGCGTTGTACGCGCGCAAGTCGGGCCGCACCCCCCTGCTTCGCATCTCCTGGAACACGAGGAACACCCGGAAAAGGTTGTCCAGGGCAGGGTTGGCATTGTCCGAGGACGTCGACGACGGTGCTCGTGATGACTCGGTTGGATCGGCGGTGGGGCCGCGAAGAGAAGCTTCGGACCGACCGCTGGATGCGTAACCCCCCACCCCTCCTGCTTTTGTAGCCGGTCCTGCGGTACCTCTTCCGGAAGATGAAGAACTCCACGCGGCGATGACCGAAGGTTCCTCTTTCGCGTGGGCCCGAGTCGCCGCCGCAGCCGGTCCTTTCCCGCCCCCGGCGACCACCTTCGTCGTTCCCACCGCATCGGCCCGAACGTCCAATGATTTTCCACGATCGTCCACCCCATCTCGCGGTAGTGTTGAGGCACCGCCACTAGTCGTGCCTGGCGCTGTCGATGGAAGGGGCGAGCTTTGGGCGGGGGCACCGGGAGCGCTGGCGGCAGCGGCTACGGAAGAGCCCTCGGCGGGTCTACGCACCGCGGAAGAGGAGGGCGGCGACCTGCGTGTCTCCAGCATTCTCGTGCGCTGAAGGGCGCGGGTGCGAAGGGTGTTTTCTTCGGATATCGCCTGGGATTCGAGGGGCCCGGTGCCGGAGAAGAAGGGGGTGGGTCGCGTACGCGTTAAGGGGGGGGCACTTGGTTCTCGGTGGACTAAATAGCAGTGTTTTGTGAAATACCGGGTTGGTTCGTCCCTTCAAGCAGTTCTTCGAGTGAGACAACGACAGCTATTTAACCACCACTACAACAGCAGCCACAGCCACAGCCACAGCCACAGCAGTAACAACAACCACAGCAGCGAACAGCGACAGTAAAACCAGCATTAGAAAAAGATAAAAAAAGAACAACAACAACAACAACAACAACATTAAGCAACAACAACAACCAACAACAACAACAGTGTCCACTCACTCGCCGGCGGTGAACTGCGGTAGGGGCAAAGCAACAGGATACATATCGAGCTAGAGATTCAACATCACGAGAAAAACACGAGGAACAAGTAGGTGGTACGGGCTAACCACCGATGCAACGGCAGCCGCACACCCAATACCACCACCGCCTCAATCAGCAGCAGCAACATCCCAATCCTAGCCGGGCAGTGCACCTTCAGTAAGGACGTGTAGCTCCGCACACCCGGGCGCACTCCCTCCGTCTCCATGGCCTCGAACACCTCTACCGCCGCCTTGCTGTCCCGGCTGTGCCGGCACACTTCCATCAGAGCCAAGTACGTCCCCTCGGTGGGCTTCACGCCTTGTCGTGCGAGAACCACCAACCCGCGTGGGGATGCGAGGCAGGAGGAGATGGTAGGGGGCGAGGGCACGGGGGGGGGTACTCATTTTGTGCATGCCTCAGTTGTTAGACCATTGACCATGCGCCCTGGAGAGGGATGTAGAATGTAGAAATCTTCGTCTTCGGTTTCAGCTTTTGCTGTTTCCCAGAAATTGGCGGGCGAGCGAGCGGTTGTGTGGGCCGGGCACGGGGGTTTACTCATCGTAACATGGGGGTGAGTGGGGCTCATCAAGGTGCGAAATAGGGTACCTCCCTCCTTGCAACTTCATACTGAGCGTTGTACGTAAGGACTGCCCTCTGCGAGAGGGCGGTGCACCGATTTTCAATCGATTTTCAAGCACAGCAATGATCATCCAGGATAAAAAAAAAGGGTGAGAGGTTTTCAGGGTGTAGGGAGAGGAAAGATAGTTCATGCGGGAAGATGGATGGATCAAACAGCCGCTACTGTTGTAGATGGATGGGGCAAGCTCCACAATATTGATGGCAACGCTGTCTGATTAACTTACCTGTCTCCCTCATGCTCTGCACAATCCGAAAGGCCCGGGCCAGCTTCTTGGCGCGGCCACACGCTCCTAGGAGCGCCGAGTAGGTGAGCTCGTTAATCTAGGCGGCAGGGGCATGGATAGGGGCAACAACGACCAGACGCAATTCAGCAAGTCGAGACGGAGATTGATCCACTCGTGTCCAGCACAAAACTAAAGCGCCGAGCAAATGAGCAAACACAATTGCTTGCGGAGCACGAGCGTGAGGGAAACGAGACAAAATCCGCCAGAGCAAGGGGCGAGACGGAAATCACTCGTTCATGGCCAGCAATATATTCCAGGTCTTGCGTATGGGAGATTCGCCACACGTACCGCGTTTGCTTTCCAACGGTGCTGGCTACCACTGCAGAAGAAGACAATCCCATCGCAACACCGAGGGTAAGCGGCAGCCTGTGTCTACCAATACTCCCAACAAATTGTCGTTGCTGCTGCTGCTGCTGCTGCTGCGGGTGCGCACCTCCGAGCCGTGGCCCTCAGCCCTGGAGCGTTCCATGAGCTCCACGGCCTTGTCTAGGGCTCCGGCGGTGTCGACGGCGTTGAGCAGCAGCAGCCAAGTTTCACCGTCGGGTGAGTCTCGCCTCTCCACCATCCCTTCCAGCACCTTTCACAGGGTTCATGTAGGGAGTAAATCAACAGGGGGGAGGATAACAATGTATCAGCCCCTGCATTTCGTGAGCCCCCTTGCGACCACAGGGCAAACGTAATAAAAACGACGGCGGGTGGGGTGTAAGTTTACGACAAACAGAAAGGAAAACAAGGCATGTCGTACAAGTACGTGTGGACTGACTTTTCGAAGGTTCTGCTCCACAAGCCGTACAATGCCGAAAAGGGTGGATGAAACTGCAACAACAAGGAGGGGGAGCCAAGAGTGGGGTACGACGCTGAGCGTGGTGTTAGAACAACAAACGTTGCAGTGGAGAACGTTCGTCCGCCCCGCACGGCGTCAGAGTCGGAATTTTCTTGTGTGAAGTGTCCGGTGCTTCGTGCAGACCTCCGCGTCTCACGGAAGAGTGCAAGGAGCGTTTTCCTGCAAAAAACTTTGTTACCCCCAATCTACAACACCTCATTTAGGAAAGTGGTTGTAACACGTATCGTACTGCTGCATGTCAAAAACCGCCCACCAACTTTCTCCTCTCCCTCCCCGCCGTGGGCCCAAAAAACAGCGCCGGACGTGCGACGACAATACGATGGCACCACGACAAAGGAAGGCAGCTTCGCTTCTCCTTGCCTACTCCTAGCCAACATCTCCTTCCGCTGACCCCTGCCCGACCCTTCCCGTACCTTGAACGCAGCGTCGACCTGGTCCGCCTGGCCGAAGAGCTGGAGGAGGTCGCTCTCCAGCTTGCGGTTCATCCTCCAAGCGCCTCTTCCCCGTGCTGTTGCAGTCTCCCCGCTTCCTCCTTCTCCAGTAGTGGCACCCCCCCGCGTTATCGCTTCCGCCGTCGCCATCGGGGGGGGCAAAGGGTTAGGCCCCGCGATGGTGTCGATCCCCGCTGGCCCCGGTGTTATCCCCACCGTTCCAGAGAAAAACGCCTCCGTTACGTTCTCGCTGTCAGCTGGATCAGCCGAAACAGTTCCAGCCATTGCCGTGGCTGGTCCCCTTCCAGCAGCCTCCTTCCGCGCGACATCACCGATACCCGTGCCTCTGCCGCTGCTACTGCGCGTGTCGCTGTCAACGTGTCCGACTTCTCTTACAAATTCGGCGGCGTTTGTGTCGCCGTTTCGGCCACCACCACCGCCGCTGCTGCTACTGTTCGGCCGCCTTTTGTTCAACTCGTCGAGGACTATCCCCGCCCTGTCCGCCTGGCCCAACCTTGCGCACTGCGTCAGCAAGGACGTGTAGGTGACCTGCGGCGTTCGCACACAGACAAAGACGCAGCAAAACACGTCGTGTGCATGGTGCGATTTTCATGCAAACCTCAACCGACAGGCAAGCATTAGACTTGGCCGGGGACGGCGAAGGGCGGACAATTTCGGAACACAAAATAAATAACAATCGGGTTTCAACAACGGTTTCCCGATTGTCACCTTTTTGTGACTACCACACCCCAAGACTTCGGCTGGGAGCATGAGACGCAACAACACCCAGTCCTCCACTACGGCACGCCATGACGACACCGCGACATCGATGCAGGAGTCAGGAAGTCCTTCGTGCCAAAACCAAACACACATTATTAAAGGTCTCGAGTCACTCCTGGTGCGCGCTACCGCTCTCCTTCCGCCCTCATCTTCTCCGCACCCTCCATATAGGCAACCGCACCCATGACGACAGAAACCGCCCTAGCACCGACAACGCTGCAGGAGTCAGCAAGTCCCTCGTGCCAGCAAACACTATCAAACGTCTCAATCCACTCCTCGACGTGCTACCGCTCCCCTTCCGACCTCTTCTTCCTCGCACTCTCCATCAAGGCACCCACCCGCACACCCGGCCGATCACCATGATCGCCTACATCTCCCCCACCACCACCACCACCAACAACAACAACAACCACAACCACGAAAACATCAATACAAACCTCCGTAGGCTCTATGCCGACGTCGAGCATGTGCTCCAGCACGGCGAAGGCCAGGTCGAGCTCGTCCGCCTTGAGGCACGCGTCCATCAGCGCTGAGCAGGTAACCCCGTTGGGCACCGTGCCCCTCTCTCGCATCTCCTTGAATAGCTTAAAGCTCCACTCCAGCTCCTGCGGGTTACGTCGGTTACATGTCGGTTACGTCGGTTACATTGTCCAATGGGTCGGTTTAAGGTCGGTTACGTCGAGCACATGATCGGTTACATCGGTTAAACGGTCGGTTATATCTGTTACATTATCCGTTCCGTCAGTTACAGTGTCGGTCACGTCGGTTACATGTCGGCTACGTCGGTTACATTGTCCTGTACGTCGATTACAGATCGGTTACGTCGGGCACATGATCAGTTACATCGGTCACACTGTCCGTTATATCGGTTACATGATCCGTTCCGTCAGTTACAATGTCGGTTACGTCGGTTACATGTCGGCTACGTCGGTTACAAGTCGGTTACGTCGAGCACATGATCGGTTACATCGGTTACACCGTCCGTTATATCGGTTACAATATCCGTTCCGTCAGTTACAATGTCCGTTCCGTCATTACAATGTCGGTTACAATTGTGGATACGTCGGGTACATGGTCAGTTTCGTCGGATACACGGTCCGTTTCGTCGACTATATTGCCCGTTGCGTCGGTTACACTGTCTGTGGTGTCGACGACATTGTCAGATACATCCGTTACACGGTCTGTTACGTCGGTTACGTTGTACGTTACTTCGGTTGCATTGTAAGGTACGTCGGCTACATCGCAGGCAACAATGGGGCGGCGGCGGCGGCGGCGGCGGGCGTGGTGGTCGCGCCATGGGTGTGTCACTAAAATTGTTTCGATGTAGGACGGGGTTCGTACAAACGGCATGTGCCGCGGCCCCCACCCTGCCCAACAACGTCTGACCACGCTCCGCAGAGTCCCGCACAAGAAAAGACAAGACGATAAGAGAAAATACCGAGAGGACGCTGTCATCAACGGTTACGTTGTACCAGGTACGTTACTTTGGTTGCATTGTAGGGTACGTCGGCTACATCGCAGGCAACAATGGGGCGGCGGCGGCGGCGGTGTCGGGCGTGGTGGTCGAGCCAAGGGTGTGTCACTAAAATTGTTTCGATGTAGGACGGGGGTTCATACAAACGGCATGTACCGCGGCCCCCACCCTGCCCAACAACGGCTGACCACGCTCCGCAGAGTCCCGCACGAGAAAAGACAAGACGATAAGAGAAAATACCGAGAGGACGCTGTCATCAACTCAACGCGTTCAGAGTTGTTGTAGCTCACAGCAGGTTTGCAGGTCCAAGCGACGCATGACCAAACCCCGCGGGAGGCGGTTTCATTACTACGTGGACAGACGAACAGCCCTCGGCGGGGCCCGAAAGAACGAGTCCCCGCAAAAAGATAAAGCCTCTAACGCAAACGGCACAAAGACCAGCGCAAAAGTAAGGGGCTCAAGGATCACTGAAAGGACCTGATTTAACGTTAAAAGTTGCACCTGAATTGAGCACCCAAATTTGGATGGACCTAGTTGGGTCTGGCCAAAATACGTTTGCGTCGATCTAACGTAATTTAGCCACATCTAAATGCCAATCAAGGTTCAGCAACACCCAAATGCGGTGGAATCGTTGCCACGAGGTGACGTGGTGACCAAACAGGTAGAGCGATAGACCATGTGCATCACACGGGAGCTGTAAACATGTGTCAACACACGCACGAAGCTAAGCATCAGCAGGCGGTGCCAGTGGTCCAAGCCTCATCCGCAGGCTTGCTCTACAACTTTTGTTTGGACTGTCTCGCTGCACACAACAGGCCGTTGGCTTTTGACACCGCACATTTTGGGAAGCAACCTCTACCACAACCCAACGAGCGCGAAAAATTGATATCGCTCACAGAATCATTGCAATACAGTTATTTCCCAGCAGAGGGCAGTGGGCGATGCGTGTGGGTGCCGCACGGCCAGTGTGCCACATGCGGTCCAGTCAGGGGTAACGCCAACACGAGGTCAGCTCATCATGGGGGGTGCAAAAGGGGTGAAATGCAACTCGGGTACTTCGATTCAGCACAAGACAGTCCAATTCTCCATTGCTTTTCGCTTCACACAATACCACGTCCCGTTTTTCCAGGCAGCAAAGAAAGACTCATTGTATTTTTCGCTGTTGTCCAATCACCGTCTTTGGCCCCCGGTACTCCCCTCCAACTTAGGTTTTGCAGGGTCTCTATGTAGGAGCAACTTTCAAGTGTTAAAACAAGGCCAAAACGCCAACAGCCAGCTCACTCGGGCAAGCATGAACAAGACATCATGGACGAAGCCCTCCCAACCCAAGGACCCCGTACACAACCCCAGCCCTACTCGCTCTTCGCCTTATCCCCCCTCAAGGCGCTTCGCGCTTGGTGATGTGCTAACCCGGTCCCGTGAAAACCTGGCGTGCTCCGTCCCGGTTTGTAGGGATGCGCGACGTCAAAGGTTTAACTAAACAACTGAGGCATGCACGGCTATGAGTACCCGCTGTTGGTACACACAACACGCGGCGCACCTTTCCCTTCCCGCACGCGTCGATGAGGGTGGTCCACGTGACCACGTTGGGCTCAATCCCCGTCCCGAACATCTCGTCCAGGGTCTGGAACGCCCTCGCGAGCTGCCCCGCCCGGCCGCACGCGTTGATAAGCGCCGAGTACGTGACGCGGTTGGGCTCCAGCCCCCTCGCCCGCATCTCCTGCAGCCAAGAGAACGCCTCGTCGACCTTAGAAAACCCATTCAGAGGCCGGAAACAGAAAACAGGGGGAGGGTGGCGAAGAGAATCGGGTGTGTTTCTTTTTCGTGCCCGTTCGCGCGGTTTGCAAAACCCAGAAGTAACTGTTACAGAAAACGAAATTAAAACCGAGACTTATCTGCGCTGACTAGTCGAACGGTTTGCTTCGGTTTCTAATCGCGCAAAAAAACTGTGCGCAAAGCGCGCAAAAATCGCGCTTTCGGGAAAAGCCAACGAGTCAATCCGATCCGTGCCGCATGAGAGGACACGGGAAGCGGGACCCACCCCCGCGTTCATGTTGGTTTACCTCTTTCAATTACTTTAATCATTGCAGCGTAAATAGAAAAAAATATTTGCGGCTGCGCTGCCTATAACGCGAGCCTCTCCTTGGCGAGTTAGAAGTACACACCAATCGGTATTCAATTCTATAGCAGCTATCCATCCATCTCAAGATTATGTCACCACCGCACGCCCAACCCTCCCCCCCCTGGCGAAAACCTGGCATATCGCTCCGTCTCGGTATTGTAGGGACGCGAGGCCAATGGTCTAACGACTACGGCCTGCGTTTACATGAGGACACCCCCCCCCCCCCCCCTACAGTACCTGTCCCTGCACGGCGTGGGAGTGGATCAGGGCCGAGAACGTCCTGTCGTTGGGGCTGAGGCCCGCCTGGGAAAGGCGGGAGAACACCTGTCGCGCCCGGTCGATGTCGCCGGCTCTACCGCACGCGTCGATCAGCGTGTTGAACGTGATCACGGAAGGGGTCACGCCATAGCGAGACATCTGGTCGAAAACCTGTCACGTCCCAAAAGCGCAACGAAGTTTTGGGGTAAGAACAAAGGACGAGCAAATGTTCAGGGGGGTTGGACCAAAAAGGGAGGGGTGGGTGCGACCATGGCGGACAGGAGCGAGGAATCTGGTCGGAGTCCTGTCCCCAACGCAGGGGGTGACGAGGATATAATGGTGCGAAAACCGGGCAAGTGGGAATCAAGGGTGCCATGTGACCAAGGGTTGGAGTAAAACGGCACTAGTGCTGTGAGCGCTGATTTGAAGTGTAGACAACAAAAAAAAAAAAACTGCATCGATGTTTTGGCACCCATTTTCATTTTGCTGCTTTGGTCCTTCTTGCTTCAGGCCGTCGATGTGCATGCCCTGGTGAGTTGCCGTTGAGGCTGGTGCCTAGTCAGAGGGCAACCTTCCTACTCCGTCAGCCTAGTGCGTAGGTACGGACGGTGCGTAGATCGCGCACGTAGACTGAAAAGCCGGGCTTCAACAGCAGCAACGGCAGTCGCGGTTTCAAACCGAAAAATACAAAGGGGGCAGGCAGACAAGCGTGCGTGCACCCCACTAAAGACGCACCAGCACCAGGGCATTGCACAGCAGATCACAACGAAAAAAAAAAAAAACACCGGAGAAAAAAAAACATGCATTACGCAAGTGCTGGCCGACTGGCAAGTTGGCACGGTAGGCACCCCCGCCGTCCCGCGCTCTCTCTACCTTGAGCGCCTGATCCGGACTGCCCGCCTTCGCAAAGGCGTTGATGAGGGAATTGATGGCCTGGACGTCCGGGGTAATTCCCGCCTCGAGCATCTCCCTGAAAAATCTCTCCGCCAAACGGACCCTGCGACACGCCCCAGCCCTGTGCATCGAGGTGGCGCAGAGAGGACCGCCTTCGCGCGATTACCCAACAAGTTAATGAGGAAACAGAGCAGGGATGGGGGGACGCAGACCCTATTCCCCAACCCTGACCCTACCCCAACTTCCCCGATTGTATGCTTAATCGAACATAATTACATAATACGAAAAAAACCTGGGAAGGATACTGCACAGAGAATGGTGGGGTAGGGGCGGGGGGAACCCCACTCATGAACGTGTGATAAATTGCCGAGTTCCTTGGCTTGCTATACCTCGAGTCGTACGGGGGTTGTCGATCTCGCGCGGGGGGGGGGGGCATGTCTCGTGCGAAAACTGGCGGGCGACGGTGGTGGTGATCAGATGAGGGGTAAAAACATTACAAAGGACAACAAGCACGGGAGCTCTGAGAATACCAGGACGTTTGGTCCTGGTACGTCACCGATATCATTCGGTGTCTCGGGGTTTGCGTAGATACATCTCAAAGCAGTTGCCCAACGACTCGAGTACGAGTTCGAACTCAAACACACCATAGCGCTAACTGCCGCGGCACCCATGTCGTTCGACCCGAAAACGCTGTACTTCGAGAGGGCCGTAAGAGCGAGCGCGCACCAGAGCGCCCAATGAGATATGCTGCGCACACACACTAGAACCAAGCTCCCGGTTGAAACCTTCAACAACAGAGCCCACAAACCGGCGCCAAGGCCCATATCGCATTTTCCTGGGCATGTTAACTTGTTCCAGAAAACCCAAAACCGATACCTAGCAACGTCGCAGAGCAAACAAAGCCCACCGGGAGATGAGGGTGGAGAACGTGACGATCGTCGGGCGGAGCTGGCACGCCAACATGGCCTCGTAGGCCGCGACGCAGTCGTCTATCCTCCCGGCGTCCCCCAGCGCGCGAAGGAACACGTTGCAGGCCGGCACCCCTCCCTGCTTCGGCGAGGCTGCTGCTGTCGCCGCCGCTAGCTTTAGGCGCCGCCGCGACATGCATTCCAAGAACCTGGCGCAACCAAGGGGGGGCGGCGAGGGAGGGTTTCCCACCACATTGCTGTGATGCGTGGTCGTGGTTCACAGAACCAGGGACCCTCGTATTCCGGTAAAGCTGGGACGAAGCATGCCACGTTCTGAACGAATTCCTGCGTGTCCTTTTCGGTTGGCGTACATTTTTGGAGACATTGAATGGCGCGCCTAGGTTTTGAGACGAGGCACAACAGTAGTTCAAAAAATACAGCGGTAAGAATCAATTCCATCATCGGATGTTGTTGCCCCATGTCTTTTTGAGCAAAATCTTGGGCCCCAGTAGCCAAAAGGAAGGGTTTGGAAGTTTCCAACCATCCCACCCGGAGGACTCTGAGTTGCGTCCCCCTACAAAGAATGACCGCCGAAGTCTTGGTGTCGGAGAGACAACTACAGTACACCGCTTCGTGCTTGCTGTACACCGTGACCACTTCACGTACCGTAGGCCGCATAAGATACCACACACCCGCTCAACGGGATTAAGAGCTCGAAAAATCCGCATAAAAAAAAAATACCAGTGCCTGTGCCGAAAATGGCAGCGTTAGAACCGTCTCGCTTTCAAAAAACGCAACATTCGATTTTGGCATCCTCTTCATCGTGGACTGATCATAAACAAACGTCCACGGGGGTGTGTGGAACATGGTTACCGTGTCCGTGCATCACAACACGACCGCAGCGGATGCACATGCACGAATGACGGCCTGCTCACATTTCCACCCCATTCGCGATGTCCCCTCGGACCACAGCGGCCGTCGCGCCCGGCACGCTGGGCCCTGGAACACCACCGCCGCCGGAGGCGTTGGCGTTGGCGGTGTTGGGAAAGGGGTCTACCGAGATCTCCGAGGGGCGAGCACCGGCCGGCCCTTCCACCGGCATCATCGACGACTTGGTGTTGCTGCTGGACAAGGCCATGGTGGTGGTGGCGGTGGTGACAGCGGCCGCTTCTCTGTGAGGCGGCCGTCCGTTGGACCGTTCTTGGGATCGTTCCGGAGAAAACGGCCGCCGCCGCTGCCGCCGCCGTTGCCGCTGCCGCTGTCGGGATAGCTGCAGCAGGAGAGGCGGCAAAAACACGCGCGCCAGAGACAAAAAAAATATAAACAAGACGGGGAATATGTTGTTCTGAGTCTCGAAGGGTAACTAACACACCATCGCTGGCCGCGTCCCGAAAAGGAGGTATGTGTAACTCCTCATCTTCGGTGCTAGTGCAACGGCAAGGGCCAAGGGGGGTGGTCGAGCGGGCATTGGGACTTGTCGACGGCATCCGTTGCATGGCAACGGCACATCATGCTTACAGAAAAACACAAGAAACGTCAAGGCCACAGCAGTGTGTACGTACATATTTGAAATATTTTCTTGTTGGCTCGGAGGAGTTCGCTGGGCTCTTCGAGCCAACAAACTTCAGCCGTGATAGCGTTGAGTTTGGGAAACGTCGCAACTGCAGCTGCCTGTTTCTTTGCCTGCGTTTTCATTTTCATCTTGCATCACCTCTTGGTGACACGGCTGTGCTCTCATGAGCCCACTCCGGGAGGATCTATCTCTTGGACGAAATACAAATGGCGAGTGAGAATAAGAAGGCAGACGCTTTCAACTCCGCGGCCAACAAAACACAAGCAAACAAGGCATGTCCCGAGGGGTGCCGAGACTCGGTCCGAAAAGAACGTGTTTTCTGTGCGGGCCCGATGAAACATGGACATGACGGCTCTTCGCGTACATGATCTAGCGTTTGTGTACTTCGCGGTCAATGGACGCACTAAAGCAACGCGGTAGCAGGGGACGGAATGGAACAGTACAACGCCGCAGTAGGCACACCAATAAACATGCCTTTTAACAAACACGTCTCGTGCAGTCGCCCCCAACTCGACAAAAGGAAGGCGATCACGGCGGTGCAAGTAGCACAGCAGCGGTAGAATAAGATGAAAATGTTACACAGCAGTGTTTTTGGTTTGTCCCCACCATGCGAAATACGTAGAAACACAAAACGCTTTTACAGAGAATTATCAAAGAGAACAAACAAAGTTAGGGGAGTGTTATTGGCTTGGTCCCAACCCCCTCTTATACCGTGTTCCCGCTACTGCTGGTGCATCGAGATATCGCGATGCATAAAATATGAGGCCAGGGGAACTGACTGACTCTATTTGTGGTCCACCTGGTCCGACCTCGGAGGCCGCAACACGCCGCCGGCAACCTCACCTGCCCCACAACGCCACCACCACCCAAGTCGGAGCAAACACCCAGAGCAGTCGAGCATCTCCCACGATTTACCCTGTCCCCTCGACACCTGCTCCGCCCCTGCAGCTGATGCAACGACCGCCGATGTTGCTGCTGCCCCCCGGTCGGGAGCAAATTCTGAGTCAAGCCTGCTGACTGGACCCAACCTGGCGTCATCCCACAGCTACGGTCCAGCGGGCTAGCACAATGCTGTGAGTCGTGTGGAAAGGGCCCTAACCTCGTCATCTCGTCCGTGCTGTGTCCGAAGCTCAGGAGCTCTGGCTTGAGCTTTGACGCCCCCCGTCCTATTGCTGTTGCAGTGGTGTCGTGTACTTGGTCAGCCGCCGTGCTGCCTGAGGGATTTCAAACCACGAGTGAGCAAACAACCTCTCTCCGGTTACTTTCTAGCTCAACTCATGCGGCACCCTCTGCCACCCATCGTCTTGATGCTAGATCCAGCAGCGACACGAGGTACCAGTGGAACTCGTCGTGTGGTGAGCACGGACACCACGCAGCAGCACAGACAGAAGGTGGTGGGTGGTGGTTCCCAACAGACACGTGGACAGACAGGGACACATGACTTGCTTACCTCTGTGCTACCAGCCGCGGGGACCCCAACGGAACACACGATCCTGCTCCATCTCATCACAGCACAACATCGCCGCCCCCCATCACAGCCATGGTCACATCAGCCATCGTCCTTGCAAGTTTGGAGGAGGGAGAGGGGCGCTATGTGAAAGCTTCAGCTGTTCCGAGGTAGGTTTATGTGTATATTGCAGGTGATAACGTACATCGACATAAGATATCACACCCCCTGGACCGATTTGCAAAGCTCGATTTCTCCACATCCACATCATCAGAACAACAACTTTGATCAGAACTATCATTGTACTTTAGGGGGTCCGAAAACGGCGGCGATGGAAGCCGTCTCGTCGAGAGCTTTCGGAAAACGCGTTATGCCACTTCACTTATTCATCCTCTTCGTCATGGAGTAATCGAGTTTTGAAAATCGTCCAGCGGGTGTACAAAGTACTTTATCTGTGTCACCACGGACGGTATCATGTCTATATCGTCGAGTCTCTTTTCATCCTTGAGTGACGCGCGTATGTATGTATTAACCTCGTTACCGCTGTACATCCATTGACTTGGTACATTCTTTTCCCACCCACGCTTGGGGATATTCGTGTCCAAACACTAAATATCCATCAAGTCTAGTCGGCTGCGACCACATGACTGTTGATAGAAATGACTTACTCAGTCAAGGGAAAGTTAGTTTTAGATATAGCCGTTGTATCTCTCATCCATGTTACGTCCAATACTGCGGTAGATCAAATGTAATTTCAATAGTACCCGTAGAGACGGAAACACGCCGTGGCGGGTGGCGGGCGACCATTTTTGCTCACTAAAACGAGCGCGGAGGTCCCCTTCTGCAAGCGCATGGACCGCATGGAAATACTATTGCTGTGCATATACAAGATCCCCTGAAGTGACACGATAGAGGAAACGATTAGATACGGCATGGGAGTGAGCGGGTGTCGGCGCAACGGGAGCCGAACAGACGGCACCAATCCAGCGTACAAGGGTAGACGGATCTGCTGCTTGCTGAAACGGTATATGCTAGAAACATCACCACGCGTGTAGCAGCACGTCCGGTCCAATAGTCTAGTGCCGCTGACCCGGATTATTGACAGCTTTTGTCATGCATCATAACATTCAGGAGCTCCCGGGCACAACCTGCCCCTTCCGCATCCACTTTGTCCGCCCCCTGTGACGTTGACCGTTTAGCCCTTGGCAGCCAAGAAGTAGTTGCTACATTCGAAGGCTATACATGTCATCATGCTGAGGACGAACGGTATCGGGCACACCTCTCAATCAAGTTTACCATTTTCTTCGTGGGTTCGTGGAAAAATTCAAGGGGGGGCAGAAGACTCTGAAAACTAGCTGTGCAACAGCTAGTGTTGCTCCCCGGTTTGGTCAGAACCGGATCCGGTTCTGAAAATACTCGGCCGATTCCGGGTCCACCAGTTGATACCCGGGTATTTCGGCACCCGGGTACCCGGGTGTTTCCGGCGCCCCCAATGTGCACACACAGCACACAGCACGCAGCTTCACAGCCACCTCCCACACCTAGCCAGCCACCAGCGTACGCGGTCCCGCTATTCCATGAGCCAGGAGGTAGCCTTCCCGGAAGTGAATCTAAGGCCCAGCGGTCGGCAGCAGCGGCACCCAGCCAAACGCCGCGCGCACGCGTGTCGTCATGCGCCAAGACGCCATCAGCCAAGGCGCGAAGTGCTACTGCGGCAGACGAGAGTGACAGCTCATCCGAGAAGAACGACTATGGTGACGACCACGAGGAAGAGGAAGAGAAAGGCGAGAGTGACAGCAGTGACATGAAAGTGGAGGTAACTGGCATAACTAAAGGCGGCTCCTCCAGCTCTCCCCGTGGTGCTAGTCGCAGCAGCAGCGAAACGGAGAGGAGCGGCAACTCCGGCGGCGGCTCTGCCAAGCCTGCCGCCAAGCCTGCCGCCAAAAAGGCGAAGACGTCGAAGATCTGGGATGACTTCATCCTGGACGTGGACGCCAACTACGTGAAGTGGAAGCATTGCCCCACGGGGGGTGTACTTGGTTCATGTGCTTGTACATGGACGAGGTGCTACCACCAGCACGCTTCATGCGCCCTTTGCCCGGGGGGCAATGCTTGCACTTGCCAACATCATGTGTGTCCTTGCTGGACTGAACCAGTATCTTCTTCGTCTATCCGCCGCGGCTTCCACAATCATCACTGTGGCGTTGGATCCGATAGCCAGGACACCAGCCGAGATGGTGCCTACTTCCATCTTTGCTGCGGTCGATTGTGCCTGCGCTGCAGACCGCCGCAGACCAACAGGATGATAGGTTCGTGCCGCTACACGCCTTGCCGGACCCCGATGAACAGGATGGAAAGGGTTTTCGCAACTCACGACGGTGACCAAGAACTCTGAAACCCAGGGCAACGGTGCGATCGCGCAAGCTGTCCCTTCCTCAAGCGCTGAACGAAAATGCACTGTTTTTACCGAGACCATGCATCTCCAACAGCTAAGAAGGGTCCGGTCCGCTGTTGGCGGAGATTCCCTATCGGTCAAACCGACCCTTTTCCTCAAAAGAAAGTGTGGAAGGACACAAAATGTCTCACCCTTTCCCTGAGTGCCACCAAGGAGGCGATGCTGGGCAACGGCAGCTCTTCTCTGACGGGTGCGGTACACCACAGTCTAGAGATACATGGTATGGTGGCGGTTGCTTTGCCCCGATCGACATATCGCGGGAGATCAAGGACCTCCCAAGAGCCAGAGGCTGCAGCATTGGGCAGAGCGCTACTCCCCAACTGTCTGCACTGCACGCAGCCTTTGCGTCAGGCGGCGTCGGGGCACACTTGTGTCAAACGTGGTGGACATCGCGAGCCTCTGCCCACGTTCGCGAGAGACAACGGAAGCATTGGAACAAGACCGATTGCGTCAACGTGTACCGTGCCCGGTCGGGAGACGAGAGACACAGCGAACAAGGTGGCCACGCACGCATACCGCGTTCATCCATGGGCGTTCCCTCAGGGGGAGGACGCTCCTGCTACCACTGGCAGGGCCCTCACATCCGAAGTATTTGCTATTGGGTACGGTACTCGTGATCAGCAGGTACAAGGGCGGTAGGTAGCTGATGGGACGGATAGCCTGGTGATATTTGGTAGGCAATGGAGGCGCCGCGTGTGTTTGGGTGTTTCTGTGGAGACTACTTGTCAAAAAGCCTGTATGTAGAAAATGCACCGATCGCACGCGTTTGCACCCGTTCTGTGTGTACACCAGTATCGGAATGATGGGTTTTTCTAAGGTTACGGCGTGAAAGCATGCACCACTACTGCTGCTGTGTCCACTCCTGATAAGACGTCCTTTCACCCGGGATCACTTGGGTCTCGTCTATTTGGGGGTAGAATGTGCCTATTCACTGCGACGTAGAACCATGTTGTGGAACCCGTCTGTTAGATCCAACCTATGCCCCTCCGTCTCACACAATCCGTGGCTACCGGTTGAGTACAAGCAAGAGAGTCTCCCCCGCCTGATACTGAAAATTTCGAACAAGGACATGGAGCAACATGCCTTTCGCAGGATACCCTTTGAACCCAACGCACCTGTGTTCGGTACAATCTCGGCAAGAGTTGCCATGTGTGATGCATTTTCCGGACATCACAGTGTACTCTTGTCTGAGCGTCGTGTACAATCATAGCTCTTTTCGTCTCTTCGACCTGGTCGCTTTCGTTGCAGGCGCGTGCTGGCACGGTGAAGAGCAACAGCGACGGACTTCCATCTCAAATTAAGGGCGCTGAAGCCATTTGGAGATTCCTACCATCGGAGTATGGATCAACCCGGCGGTGAGCGTAACGCCTGGTGCATGCTGGATCAACGTCCCCCGTACTTGACGGGGACACCACTTCGCACAAGGTCATAACCCGATATTACACCGGCTGTGGAACACGACGAGGGAACACATGGCATCCCGGCGAGCCCTTCGCACTCTTGTGGATGCAGCCGGTTGCGAGGCCTCGGTGTGCAAGGTGCTCCGCAGTACACAAGGAAGCGTTGCAGGCGCTTTACTGGTGGCGTGTTTGGGGTGGGGGTATGTGTTGTTGCTGTTGTTGTAGCTTTCAGCGGCGAATGCCTCGCGCATTGGTTTCGTTGAAAACCATCACGAGATCCAGAAGACTGCACATTTCTTTCTGGGAAAAGAGGTCACCATGTTCACAACCAATGACTCGTATTTCTTGCCGCAGCCGGTGAAGGCGCGCAATGAAGTGGTAGAAAGCAGAGAGGTGTCGGGTCGCGAGCGGTGCAACAACCCCCAGTCCTCCTCTTCGTACGTATGCGCGCGGTTATTGCGCAGCACATGCCCAGCTCGGACTGAAAAAGCGAGACCAGCGCCTGCAATAAACCCTCGCTCCGAATGACTGCACATGTTTAAAAAAAATTTCGACGTTGTCTGACCCGCGACACCGCGGCACACGCACGGGAGACTGCAATACATTCAATATCAGGGCCCCACCCAAATCACACCGTACGGACAACGTGAGACCCATCAAGCCTTTCGTAGTACCAGCTGAAAATCAGCACGACACACTGCAGTTCAGTGCACTGACACCAACAACCGCCACCATCATATCCCACCGCGCCATCAATCACTGGGTTTTTCGAGAGCTGCTTGCAGCTTGCTCCAAGCCGGACTGTGGCTGTAGCTTCCCCGTCGTCCCCCTTTCACGAGGGCCACGACTAGCCTGGTCTTGAGCTTCCGGGCCGTAACCCCTGCCACAACGCCGCTCAACCTCTGGAGGTCAATCGTGTGAAGGCCGTACTCCCTGAAGCGATTTCGTGGGTAAGAGTGCGTGTGGGATATGAAGTGAGAGGGGGTTGCGATGTACCTTTATGATTATTCACGTCAACAATGAGCGCTTTGACTGCGGCTTCGCGATGGGCTCCGGATCAACAACGGGCAATCGCGTCGAAACTACACTGGATCCCACTACACACGAAGTTGTGTTTCCTCAAAAGCGCCCTCCATTAAACCGGAGAGCAGCTCCTAAAGAAGAGCATATGACTATGTCCAAACAAAGAGGACCTCCGCCCTAGTGAAACTCACAGCAATACGAAGGGCGCCTCGTTCAAGATACTACTGTCAATTAAGCAAACAACACATCACAGGCTCCGCGCGGGAGAACATGCATACCTGCTGTCGATGGACATTCGGAACCGCCGAGAGCCCCACTCTATCTCTATCTCTTCCACGTCCACCTTGGCCCACTCCCACTCGGATTGCCGAAATGTGAGCCGGACTTCCTCGCCGTAGTCTTCCCAAGAGTAGGACGAAATTTGTTGAGGCCGGCGACGCCGCGTGGTCACCGGAGGGGAAGACGCGGACGAACTTCCGTTGGGTCTTGCGCCGTTGGGTGCGGAGGTGGTATCGCCCTGTTGTTGACACGCCGGGATCGTTTGCACGCGACGAGTGGGTGGAGGAACGGCATGGGCATACTATGTGGAATGTTTTCACTCCGTACAGGAGGAGCAAGATGAAAAGCGATTGGTGTGTTGTTAAGAGAAGGCTTTGCGGGCCAGATCAAGGGCAGAGTGCAACCTGCATGCGGAAATCAAGGCGGCACTGCATCACTCGCAGACCTATCTCAGAACTTGAGGTAGTACCAATCCACCGCAGAAATAACTGGTCAGCTATGCATGGAGTCTAGGATCTCAGTCCTTGTGACAAAAACGTGCTACAGATTTGCATTGACAGCTTCTGACACGAGCCTTCCTTCACCGAATTACATTGTTGCATGTTGAACCAGTAGCTCAGCTTATGAAACGATCAAGCAAACAACACCGGCAAAACCAGAGCGAACGTAAGTGCTTGCGACCATTGTTTCAGCACAACTCGATCCTCACACATCCTAGCTGGAGATGCTGCGATCTCCGTGGTTGATTTGAATGCAGCAGGTACTCAAGTAGCGCTCTGTTTCTGGGTGCTATATGCGTGGATCAATACAAATCCGGGAGCTACACCAGAAACCGAGCTAGCGTTTGCCACGCGTAGAGCTCGATGAAAGCGGACCCGCTTCCAAACTGCGCAAGGGCGGAACTGCTGTAGCATGTCACAAGGGCTTGGATCCTACAGGCCTGCGATTCGTGCAGCGCCGCCATGACTCCCGGGGGCTCAACAGAAATACCGTAGACTACTGAAACAAAGATTTCAGTGTCACCAGTGCAACGTCTGCCAAACTCTGGAAGATAATCGACACGACGCAATGGGGACTCACGGGTCGCGATGAAGATGATCGGAGGGAGTGTGAAATACGGTTCACACCTAGGAGTTGGAAGAGGAGCATGGCGACTTTCTTCAGAAACTTGCGCTGAGAGTTGAACGCTGACGAACGAACAAAGGGGATGAGACCGCTCCTCATGCCCAAGAACAAGTAAACCCACGACGTCGCCCAAAATTACCTCTATTTGCAAAAATGCGCCGGATTGTACAAGGACGCCCATATTTTGCCTTGCACAAGACAACGCCCGACAAGAAATCGAGTTTGACCGACAACCAACAACGAAAAGGACAAATGACAGGACGTTTCAATTAAAACAGTTACACGAGAGGTTCTGCACTGCTGTTCTTGTGCATACTTACTTTGCTGAGCAGTTTCGGGCCATTCATTTGGTAATCTTCTGGGGCGAGCTCCTTCATGGTGATGTGGTGAGCGAAGTAGTAACCCAGATCTCCCTTCTGCTTGCTCTGCTCCCACTTGCTGCTTGCCGCGGCTCGTCGGTCCCCCTGTCCTGTTGACGAAGAGGATGACCCCCATCCGCCGCCATTCGAGCCCTCCGTGAAAGAATCCTACTTGCACAAGTGGAAAAGGTAATCAGCGCTCATCATGCGTATTGATCATCATGCAGAGGGAGACTCGAGAGCAACGGTGACGATTGTGCGTCAATGCCCCGACAACAATGGTTCAAACGGGTGTCTTAGACATGTGCTATATATACATATATATCCATACACATACGATCGTCGTGACATGTCAGCCGCGCTTAAAGTTTACCTCCCGGGCCAACCAGCCGGCGGCCGGCTGACACCTATGGTTGAGGGGGGTCTGACCACATGTGCGCAACAAGAGGGAGGAGTTCAATTTATCTCTAATACTTCATTGGAATGAAAGTCGTGAAACAGCCACTTCTGGCGGCTAAGTTAGGTGCGCAGATTTTATCAATGACTCTCCATACTGCTGGTGGTATCCATGGTGTTGCTGTGGGCCCTCCTCACCCTGGACGTGCGAGGCCTCATCCAATGCACTCCTTACATCAAGTGATCGACAACGGTGTCAAGAATACGGAGTTGATATTTTTCACCACGGTGATCATTTGCCTAGGCATGTGGCCGCGGCGTAAACGTTTCACGCCGCGGCGATATACCCAGCGGCGAGGACCTCCTGCCTCGGGGGCAGGAGGCCTCATTCAATCCTCGTTCTCCTCTTTGTGCGTGATCTCACGGTTATTACTCGGGGTGATATGCCCACGGGCTTCGTGATGTAGTCCGGCGGGCGGAACCGCCGGGTGTGGTATCTAACGTGAACCACGTGATAAATCGGCCAGTGCGCTTGGATTTCAAAAATGGTATGGACCTTTATCAACCAAGCAAAGGGTGTGTCTTCTTGAAGGGTGTGTAAGGCGTGGGGTTTCTCAGGAGGGGATGGTTTCTTGTACAAGTACAGGGTACGCTCGGTTCCTGTTGTGCGGAGAGATTCTTACAGCGTCACCCACCTACAGCAGTAAGAAAGTAACAGCGATAGCCGCAAAAGAGCCCTATTCTGTCCACCTACGACCATCGACCCAATGCAGCAATTATCTCACACACCACAATCGTGACCACGACCATTTTATTTCGAACCCTGATTCAGGGCTACAGCAGACAGCCAAAGACAGCGGAAACTCCCCCCTCTACCCTCCGCGTTCGCCAAAAAATCTCAAATCTCTTACGCATACGATTATTTGAACGAAAACCAAACGAGACAGCGCGACCAAGACACCAAGACGGGAGTTTAGAAGCAAGAAACCCTATTCCTTCACCTGCATGCATACAGCTCGAATGCCTGGAGTGTGCGCCAGTGGTTTCTTGCTGCCGCTCGTGCCGGCGCCGCCGCTGCTTCTACCCTCGCTCATGCCGCGGAACCACCAGAGCAGGAGGGCGGCAAGCGCTGCTGCGAGAGCGATACATGCAAGCACCTCGCGCTGGAAGTGTTCCAAAAGCAGCATAGCACCACCCCCTCTCTGCTTCCGCCAGGATTGCACCAAGAAGGGATTCTAAGTACCCCAAAACTACAGCAGCACGAGCAGAGCGCCTTCAAGTCGCTCGGTTTCCGCTCAGCGCTCAGCGGCAAACCAACGTTCAATTTCGCCGCTTTTTGGTACAGGGGATGGGCTCGATTCGCCCCCCCCCCCCTTCAAATCCCTCGTCCCGCTCTTTGCGATGCTGACAAACGCACCACGACCCGCGCTTGTAAGAACACCTCAGGCGACGCTCAACGGGTGCTCGAGGTCAGGGCCAGAAAAACCGAGACATCTCCGAGACAACCACCAGAACAGAGAGTGCTGCATGAGCCCAGGTGAGACTGGGCTGTCGCTCTCTCCCTCTCCGTCGCAGCCACCCCAGGGACGAGTCGTTTTTGTGTTTTCAATTTTTTGTTCAGGGGGATAGTGCCGACGTGGCACTGAATCCAAAATGGTCTTTTACCGAGTCGAGGGGCATGCCGCCGACCAGCCCAGTGCATGACCTCCGGCGTGTGTCGCCGCCGTCCCGTTCCATCCTCCCCGGCTTCGGCGAGCCCTCGCGCTCGGGGGCATCGGGAGGAGGACAGAGAAACCAACAGGATAAGAAGTAACAAGTCGTTTGGAAGGTTGACCTTTTTTCTCGGTTTAGTTGACCTTTTTTTCACAAGCTTCTATCTGATTTTTTTCTGCTCGTCTCTCTGCGTCCACACGCGCCTTCAGCTTGACCACAGGGGGCAGACAGCGACGCAAGCCGGGAGAGGGAGGGGGGCGTGTGGTGAGGGCCACACATATGAGCCTGGAAACCAGCAGCAGGATCCTCCGTGCTGTGTCTCCCGGCGGGGTTTCGCCCGCGGTGTGGAGCGAGTTTTCGCGCGGTTACCAAGCGCTGTCTCCTGACGAAACGCGATCCTCTAATATGTGCGTTAGAGCCGGCGCGACGATGTCCACGAAACGTCAGGGCTACCAAACAAAGACCGAGGCGACGGAGCCGCAGCCGACACAGCAGCAGCTCTTCCGCCAGCTGGGGCCTTCCATCGAAGGTGTCGATAGGGTCGGCGGGGGGCGGCGAGACCCCGACTTCGGCGGCTCGCACGGCCAGCACCAGCACCACGGCTGGCCGCCTCTGCAGCAGCAACAGCACCAGCACCAGCAGCCCCAACAACATCATCAGCAACCGCCTCCACACCATCACAACGGCAGCAGCGATGACACCGCCGCAGCCGCAGCCGCCGCAGCCGCAGCCGCCGCTGGAGGTGGATTAGATAACCCGAGGCTCAAGCGCAACAAGCCCGTCAAGTGGAGTGCGGAGGAGGATCGTAGGCTCCGAGACGCTGTTGTCAGGGTGAGTGAAATAAATGATATAGATCGCTATCCCCTCATCCTGCGTGCGTGCGCATATCCCCTGCGGGAGAGCCAGCGAGAAAAGCTGCGGAATCTATTTACATATAAGGTGTTGAAGGTGGTTTGTGCTGGCACATGCTACATGCTGCTGCTGTAGACCCACGTCGATCACCTTTGTAAAGGCGATGTTTCTTTTTCGCCATCGACGAAGCTAACAACAGCATTGCTGCTGTGGGTTGCAGATCTCTCATGTCCTGCTCCATACTGCTGGCGAATGACTATTGCTGCCGCCGGCGGGCAGCGCGCCCCGCTGCCGCTCTTTTTTTCGTATTTTTTATGCCCGGTTTGATTTTTGTTGTCGTTTTTTCCGCCGGGCCTTTTCCCAAACCCCGCCCCCCCCACGGCACTGCAAGTATTATTTGTGATTTTTGTCCAGAAACATGCAACACATGTGGTGTAAACGTGGCCGGCTGTTGGTCGCACGAAGGTTTGTGAGGGATCTTTAGGGTTACCTCACACATTTTCCGTCTCTGCTGTGTGGTCCCGGTGGGGGGGGGCGTGGGAGTTTCGTGCGAGAGAGCGGAGGAAGGAGCTCTGCGGGGTTTCTGTGTGTGCGGTATATATGTGTGTGTGCAGGCAGCAGCATGTCACTGCCGGCGTGATTCCGATAGAACGTACATGTAGAAGAACTTAAAACGCGCAGGCACGACGCGACGGGGCGCCCAGCACGGGTGTGCAGTTGTTATCGTTATTCTCACATGGTGCCTGCCTTCTTTTCCAAGAACCGCGCGGGCACGCATGTCACGACTAGTATATATACCGTTTGTGTGCATAGCGCACTACCATGGAGTTCATACGTCAGCAAGTGATGCACGGGAAACGTTGTTGAGTCGATATATCTGTGTATCTGCCTCTGAGTAAAGCTATTGTTTTCTCTGTCATGTTATTTGGATTTGGAGATATCGTTCACAGGGACAGAACCGACGCGAGGCCTCTCCCCTTTTCATCCGCACTCTTGAGGGGTTAGTATTCTTTCTGGAGGGCGTACGGTTTTTTTTTTCGTCCGATTTTTTAATCCGTATTCGAAAAATACATGAAAAAGTACATGCGAACGAGTTTTTTTTTTCACTTGCTGGACCGGACTGCCAGCTACGGCAGGGAACGAGGGAAACAAGGTTTAATGTCAGTATTTCGAATTCGAATTCTTATCTACGAAATTACAAATATGTTCAAGGTCACTGAGGCCGTGTACCTTTACCTTTGAACGAGGAGTTGTGCCCCGAACTTTTGTTATCCTTAATAAAATATAATAAGCGACAGAGAACAGAGAACGCACCAGTGTTCGAGATAATATCGTAGTCGAAGGGCTCTCGTTGGACCACGTGAATCCACGTGGTTTCTCATGAAACAGACACCCTACGCGTGTACTATTCCTGCACGGAAGGAAGACTTCCACGTAGCGTAGCGCTATTGGGTTGCAGCCTGGACATGCGGTAGCCCCAAAAACTTACTTTGTGCGGTCCAACTACATGGTACAGCAAGAAGGACGAATGAGGGAGTGGAGTTTTTTTCTCATCATGTGGTTCCGTATTGAAGGTTCCCCCAACCCCGCGCGCCCCGATGGCCTTGCGCGACGATGTTCCTCTACATATATCGGGTATGGCGAGCAGTTCTCTGAAGCGCGTTGGAAGGACATCGCTAGTCTGGTGGAGACGCGCAATCACGTTCAGTGCTTGCAGCGGTGGAAAAAGGTGGGTGCTGATTAGGTCCGAAAGGTCTTGTTTGTTTGTACATTGCATACGTACACACACAAGCGAACGCACGCGCGTTGTTGCATCGCCTGGCTTCCTGACTTCTTTTTTTTAAGACGAATGAATGCATCTCTTGCACAGGTGAAGACTCCGGGATAGTTTTTCCACATGCGGAATGTTGTCCGCGATGGCAGAGAATTTCGTGGCCCAGTAGCGCCCGTGTACTCCTCGCCATCATTGGTTCTACTCGTCTATTCGCCGTGCATGTGTTTGTTGTACAATTGGGCAAACATGTCAACTCGCACCTCGTGATAGATTTGAGATCGACACCCCTGTTTCTGCCGCATGGCCTGTTTGATTGTTTTTTGCGTTGTTTCCTCCCTTTGTGCCACCCACGGCGGCCCGGCGGATCGCAGGTTCTGAAGCCGGGGCTCGTCAAGGGGCAGTGGAGCGCCGAAGAGGATGACCGGCTGGTGGGACTGGTGGAGAAGGGGTTCCGTAACTGGGGACAGGTAACCATTGTCATGCGGTCCCCTGCAGAATGTACCAAGCAGCATGTTGACAGGGTCGATTTTCCAGCGTGGGGATGCACGTGAATGGCCATGAATAGTTGCGCGGCATGTCACTAAACCCCCGTTGATGTAATAGACGAAGGGAATGTGTGCTTTTTTGCTCTGCCCTTGCCGTTTTGTGTTGGACCCCCCCTCGACCTACGTGCGCCCCTCGATATCCATCGAAAGTTGTTATTGAATGTTGAGCGTGTCCGTGATTGAGACTTTGGGCCGTACAGTACCGTGTACCTGTGTGTGCTGCATGCGCTCTGGCCTCGCAAAGCCATAGCTATGCAATCAATGCCCTTTTCGCACCGATCATCGAAGCAGCCAACGCCGACCACCCTTCCGTTGGGTGCGACGAACACACGGGGGAAAGGGTGGCTACCCCCCCCCTACCCCACGATGAGCACAACTGGACTGAGTGATTCCACCGGCTCCCTTAACCCCCCCCCCCCCTCCCCTACTGGGTGTGGAAAAACGAGTATGCGCCAAGTAGATGGAGGGAAGGAGTGGTTGTGAACTTGATTAAGAAAGGAGACAAGACTGACCCAGGAAACTACAGGGGGATCAGTAGGAAAAGTGTTCTGTAAGCTGCTGAACGAAAGGATAGTGGGAGTATTGGAGATGGAACATAGCGTTAGTGAAGGCCAGGCAGGTTGCCGAAAGAAGAGGGGGTGCGTAGACCACGCATTCACGGTAGGGAGAATCATCCAAGGTAGAACGAGGGCGGGAAAGCCGACGTACTGCTTTTTCCTGGACGTGAAAAAGGCATACGACACCGTATGGAGAAATGGGCTGTGGAAACAATTGTCCAAGTACGGGATCAAGGGGAAAATGTGGAGAGTGCTGAAGAAGATGACAGAGTGTACGAGAAGCGCGGTCATGCTAGACGGAGAATTTTCTAAATTCTTCGACATTGAGCTAGGGGTCCCACAAGGTTGCACGCTGTCCCCGACATTGTTCCAGGTGTTCATCAACGATCTGTTGGAAGTCGTAGAGGCAGTCCGGAAGGGAGTAAAAGTAGGGGAAACGGAAACTTCGGTGTTAGGAATGCTGTTTGCGGATGATTTTGTTGGTATGCCGGACACCCCTGAGGGACTGCAACTGCAAATTGACGCGGCGAAGAAGTTTACTGATAAATGGAGATTGTCTGCCAACGTTAAGAAGAGTGCCGTGATGGTATGCAACGAGGACAGGGAGGAACCAGTAGAATATATTTTGAAGTGGGGGATCGAGGAGATTGCAGTAGTGGACCAGTACACATACCTCGGAGTAGAGATCGCAAAAGACTGCTCGTGGAATGCACACATGTCCAAGGTAGCGGAAAAGGGCAAAGCACGAGCAGGGAAGCTGCACCCAATACTCGCAAACCGGCACCTCGATACACGCATCAAATTGACGGTTTTGAAGAGCGTAATCGTACCGCCGCTATAGTACGCTGGAGAAGTATGGGAAGGAAATAAGAAGGTAGTGAAAGAACTCGAGGCGGCGCAGATGAAAGCAGCGAAAATCATCCTAGGATGCTTCAAGCGCACAAGTAGTGCAGCCGTAAGGGCAGAATTGGGGATCCAATCCCTACGGTTGGGAAGAGACGTAAGGAAGCTGACATGGCAGTATCGCATGTGCGGGGTGAGAGAGGAGAGGTTGCCGAGAATAGTATTGGGAGGCGAAGTGGCCAAACAAAAAAAGGGGTAGGCAACCCACGGAATGGGTCAAGGTTGCAGAGGACGTATGGAAGGGGTTCGACATCGACGAAGATGAAACGCTGGAAACGGAGGGTCTACAGGGGTTCAAGGAGAAGATATCTGTTGCTTGTGCCGAGAGAGAAGAACAGAATCTAAGGAAAGAAACCGAGGATAAGGAAGAGGGTCTAGAAGTGTACGGAATGTTGAAAGAAGGAATAGGGTTCAAGGACTACCTACATGGACCAATGGATGCAGGGACAAGCTCAAGGTCAAATTCAGGACCGGGGACATTGGCCTTCGAGAACGTCGACGAAGACATAGGACGGTAGACGACGAAGACGACGAGTTCAAATATGATTGCGGCTTCGAATGCGAAGACCGTGTTCATATAGTCGCGGAATGTCCGTGGTACGAAGAGGAGAGGGAAGTGTACATGACTGAGCTGGGAAAAATACAAGGGAGGTGCAGGGAGATGTTTGAGGCATGGAATAGAGAGGAGAGGACGGTAGTTGTACTGGGGAGTACGAAGTGGTTTGAAAAGGCGGGAAGGGATATCGTTAGGACAGACGAAATAGGGAAGACAGTTTTGAGCCACCTTTGGCAAAGTAGGAAGGAACGATTGGCCATCGGTGATGGGTCCTGTGGGAACAATGCTCCGTCCTCTCGAGGACGCGTGGTTAATGGTCTAACAGCTAAGGCATGCAAAACATAAGAGTACGCCCCCCTTCCCCCCCCCCCCCCCTCTGTTCTCACCCGATCGCGCGCGCCCCTCGGATTAGGTGGCGTCGTTTATGGACGGAAGGACTTCCAAGCAATGCCGTGAACGGTGGTGCCACCACCTCGATCCTGCGGTACGCAAGGGCGGCTACACCACTGAGGAAGACGAGCTCATCATTTTCTTGCAGGTAAGCGTGGGTGAAAGAGGGGTGGGCAGCCCGGCGGTCAGGGGTGTCGACCTTGGGGAGGGGGGGGGGGTACTCTGTCTGCCTGTTTTTTTTTTTTGTCATCAGGATTGCCGAGGGGCGGGAGGGGGAGTTTGTGCGAACAACCGCGTTTTCGTACGCCAGGACAGTGTACCATGCTGGCTCGTATGGTGAACATACAGGGTACCTCGGAACGACTCTGCCCTCTTTGTTCCCGAGGTGATGAGTGATCTGCGTGGCAGTAGGACCGAGAACAAAATTCAAGCTAAAAGGCGTCTTGTTGGCCCGTGTCTCCTATTTGTCCCCTTCTACTTCGCAAACTCGATCCCCAGGGGGAGGTCGGAAACCGGTGGGCAGACATCGCGAAACGGTTGACAGGGAGGACGGAAAACGCTGTCAAGATCCGCTGGAAAGCCCTGAACCGGCGCCAGCGGGACGCGCGGAACAAAGCCGCGGCGGCGGCGGCTTCTCCCGCCGCCCCAACCGGCCACCGGCTGCTGCCCCGTCCCGCCGGCGCCGGCGCCTCAAACGACCCGCTGTCGTCATCGTCGTCGTCGTCGTCGTCGTTGTCCGACGCCGGCGGCAGGGGCGCCGTGGATGGGCGAGAAAAGGTGACGGGGGGTATGATGGTCGGGCCTGGAGGCGGCGGCGGTGGAGGGAAAACTGTCGCTCGAACATCGTCGACGTCGTCTTCCTCCTCCTCTTCCTCGTCTTCCGCCGCCGCTGCCCATGGAGGCGGCGGTTCCTCGTCCTCTAAAGTTGCATCTCGGAGGCAAAAAGGCGGGGGCGGCGGTGCTCGGGCGGCGTTGGATACACCGGCGGCGGCGTCCGGCGTGGCGGGACCGGGAGGGATGTCGATGAGCTTTTCAAACTTGCCGCTGTCATCGTCGTTGGCGGACATCAAGCCGAACCTGACCCCGGCGGAGGCAGGGGCTATCCACGCGGAGCAAGCACGGCGCTCTCTCTCGTATCCCTCCGCCTTTGCCGCCGCTAGCGCGGCAACCTCCCCCTCCCCGGGCTACCCGATCAACGACGCCTCCGCGGGAGCCGCCGCGACCTGCGCGTCTTTGGGGAGAATAGACCGGCCCCCGGGCGTCGGGGTCGGCGCGGGTTTTCAACAAGAATCTGAACAGGCGGTAGCGGGCAGCTGCTGCGGGGGCGGGAGAGAAGGGGGAGAAGGAAAGAGCGGCCGCCAGCATTGGTCGCAGAAGGGTGTCGGCGGCGAAGCGTCGTCGTTCGATGACCGGGCCCCCTTGACCGGGTCTGGGTTGGCTGCCGCTGCTGCCGCCGCCGCGTCCGCCGTTTCTGGTTCGGGAATGGTCCCCGCCGTCAAGGGGGCGGCGGCGCCGGAAGGCGCGCGGACCTCGCCGTCGCGCCGGTATCCTTTCGCTTCCGGCGACGGCAGCGGTGGCGGAGGCGGAGGCGAAGAGCGCCCGGCGGGCAACGGCGGCAAGATGGAGGGCGCCGGCGACGGCGGCCTGCACCGCCTGTGCGCGGCTCTGGCCAACGTCGAGGCCATGGACAATATGCACAGGCGAGGAGGCGGTGCTGTCGCCGCTGCCCCCGCCGCGCGCACGGCACCATCATCCCGAGCCTCGCTCAAGCGGGCAGAGCTAGAGGGCGGCGGCGGCGGTAAGCGTAGTGACCGCTCGACCCCGTCCGGGGAGGAGGAGGGACAGCAGCAACAGCATGTCGGGGGCAAGTCGCCGGGCGCCGCCGCCGCTGGTACTTCGCGCACGAAACGCGCTAGGGATGATGGTGCTGAGGTCGGCAAGGCGCAAGTATCGGCACGAGGAGCGGCGGCGGCGGTGGAGGGTGGAGGATCACCGAGTAAGGTGGCGTCTCCTCCGGCTAAGAGAGCGGCCAGGTCCCCGGCCAACAGCGACGCCGCTGTGCCGACGTCATGCTCACCACCGGCCGCCGCCGCCGCCGCCAGTCCGGCTGCCGCTCCGGGCGCAGCGGCTGTGGCCGGCAGTCTTGCATCTCATGATTTAGATACTAGTTCGTCGTCGTGAGGGATCTGTGTCTTCGGATAGATGTGTGCGGGTTGGGGGTGGATGTGTCGACTAGTCGTAAAACGAATCCTTGCCGTAGTCCGTAGTAGCTCCTTTCTGTCGATTTCGCGACGAAGGAGGGCAGTAAAGCCTGCCAATTTACGGCATCAGTTTTGGGGGCCCGCGTGGGCGGTCGGGGGGGGGGGGGGGGGGGGCGAAGCTCGTGTTTTGTTCTCATACCACCTGGATCAAGGTCACGTGTCGTA